CTTGTCATACTCCTTTCTCAATTTTGAACCAATTAGTTATTCCATATCCAGTTCTAACTGTTGATTTCTGTCCCACATATAGATTTCTCAGTAGATAGATAAGGTGGTCAGGCACTCCCATTTCTTTAAGAACTTGCCATAAGTTTGCTGTGGTCCACACCATCAAAGGCCTTTGCATAGTCAATGAAGCAGAAGTAGATGTTTTTCTGGAACTCTCTGGCTTTCTCCATAATCCAGCACATGTTAACAATTTGGTCTCTAGTTCCTCTTCTCCTTCAAAATCCAGCTTGCGCTTCTGGGAGTTCTCAGTCCACATACTGCTGAAGCCTATCTTGTAGGATTTTGAGCATAACCTTGCTAGCATGTGAAATGAGTGCAATTGGACGGTAGTTGGAGCATTCTTTGGCACTGCCTTTCTTTGGGATTGGGATGTAGACTGATCTTTTCCAATCCTCTGGGCACTGCTGGCATATTGAGTGTAGCACCTTAACAGCATTATCTTTTAAGATTTTAAATAGTTCAACTGGAATGTCATCACCTCCACTGGGCTTGTTTCTAAGGCCCACTTCAATTCACTCTCCAGGATGTCTGGCTCAAGGTCAGCAACCACAGTACTCTAGTGCAATTTACTATCATAAGCAACAAGATTTTTACCACAATAATATAACTCTTGTTGACTACACTTAATTTACTTCTGACGTCATCAGCACAAATCCACCTTTAATTCTATGTATGTCTGAAACTATCTGAAAAAAATCTTCATGCATCTGGTAAAGGCAGCTGTATCCATAAAGGCTACATTACAATTTGCCCTTAAGATGCAAAAAGACTCTGTTGTACAAATTAGCTATTTGTATCCGTATCTCTACGGATACAAATAGTTCATGTGTACAACAGATGCCATGGAGACCCATTCCCTCTTTCCAGAACTAGCTAATCCATTCACCATTTGATGCAAAGTGCTTGGCTCCATCATTGTGGCCATGCCAATCATCGAAGGAACCCAGCCACCTCACTCATTGGTTGAGTGGGGAGACTACTTGTTCTACCTTCGTGCTATAGTGGTCAGCTGCATGGGGAGATAGGAAAAAGTCAGCTGGGGTCCTACCATTGTCACAATGATGACAGTGGAGCCAAGCGCTGAGTGCCAAATGGTGAGTGGACCATCTGGTTCTGGGGAGAGGGAATGTGCCTCTGTGGCACCTGTGGTGCTATTATTCGTATTAGTCTCCCCAGGGATATGAATATGAATGGCCCATATCTACTCTGTTGCTTTTGCCAGCTACAAACTACAGTAATTATATTTATTTTCTTCAAATGCATTCAGGACCCAAACACATGGAGGGAATGAAGTGCATTGTATTGGGGCCTGAATAACAAGACCGTAGCACCAGCCCAAGCTGGAAACCTATTATACCATGAAGGAAAAATCTGAGGCTAAGCTAATAATCATCATTCAAAATGTTTAGAGCAGTATTACAACAGGACAAAAATGCTGAACAGTGAGTTGCTCACCTTGGCCTGTTTTTAGAAGAAAGAAAATGTGCACCTTGAGAAGTTTGACTAGCATGGGAGATGTTATAATTTAAGACCCCTATTAGGATGTGCATAAATCCTGCCCTCACATTTCCCACCACTTTGGAAGTCACTCGGGGCTTATTTGCACAAAGGTCTGTAGAGAAGCTTGTAAGTACATTGAGTTGGGTGTATGACAGAGGTCCTGTGATCAGGAGCCCTGCCTTATGAGGGTCCTTGATGACAGGAGGTCTCTGAATGAGTTCAGCTGAGCATGCTCACAAGTTCTGCTTCAGGCTTTCACAGATTTTCACTTCATTCCTCACACGAACGCCAGTCTGACAACCAGGTGGAGAGAGGACAAGAAAATGTGGGGTTTGCCTGCACCCCACGTTCCCACTATCTTTTCAGACTTCTCCATGGTTTCAAGCAGAATGCAGCCATTATGCTTGAAATAGAGCTAATGAAAACAGAAATGGAATTTCAGATTTGACATATGAACTTCAGTTTCATGGATCATGAGATAGTATTTATGGGATGGGAACATGATCTTTACAGGTGTGTCTCTGTGTGGTTGTAAGTACATGATACAACTTTTTAGAGGGGAGGCAAAGTTGGTGCAGAGGGACCTCAATCTGCATTTTGACAATCTGGCGCTGTCCCAGCATCTCCAGCACTGGCTTAATACACAGCTGAGCAGTTTATTCTATGGAAAAGCAACTGGATTCTGACCTGACTTCAATGATAGATAACTCTGAAATCTCTGAGAGGAAAGCTCTGAGGAGGGAGAGGACCAAGGTCCCAATGCTCTGGAGGCCAGATGGGCTGGCCAAATTTCACCCACAGACTGGAGGTTCTCCATCCATAATTTATGATGAGCCAATAAGAAAAAGGAAGCCTTCTTTTGAGTGACAAGTTTCCTTTACTGAGCTTGGAGGAAATGAGGAGACAGCGCTTCATTTTCTGACTGAATCTGATTAATTTCTAGATTACCTTTGTAGTAAATGGATGATGACTGGCGATCACCAAAATCAGTTTATATACCATTCATTTTTTTTATTGCCCTGTATTGCTTTTATGTAAGTCAACTTACCAAGCCTTGGAAAAGGTATAATAATAATAAAAAAGAAACAGTGACTTTTGTAATAGCATGCACAAATTACTCTTTCTCTAACTAAATAGCCTGTCTAATCTGTTACTAAATATCCCTTTTAAAACATCTTGAGAGCTCTAAAGTGCTTTTCACTGGGGTTTCCAAAAGGTTAAAAAGGCTGTTAAGTCTGGACTGATATAATATCTTTTTAAAAAAGATGTCCTGCTTTCATAGATCGAGGGATGCTTTATGTGTGGTGCTGAAGAGCTGTCTTGCTTTAGTTAGAGCTCGTGCAAATGGAGGGACATACTTATCCCATGTGTGCACAATAGGAAAACTAGTTGCATTTTCCTCCTGGGGTAATTACCGCCTTACAACCACAACAAAATCATGTTTACTGAGCATGTTTACTGAACATACTGCTGAGCATGTGTAATTTAGAGACCATGGTGCAAAGAGGCTGGCAATGCTACAATTTAGTAAAATCTTCATGACCTGACCTTACAGGATCTAGCCAGCAAATTAAAACTAAACAGAATGCTCTCATGGCTGATTGGCTTATTTCATCTTAAATAAAAGTGGCGAGGTTTTTATATAGTAAAAGGGTTTTTGTTTAAATAAAAAAAGCATTCATCCTTTTACTGAAAAGCCTGAAGATATGTTTCTGTTTCCACCTTTTTGTGTGTGAGAAGGCACTTTGAGAAAAGATGGCACAGGCATTATTTGGTTGCGATAAATTCCGCTAGTTTTCTTCTGGTGGAAACACTGAAGCACACAATCAGCTCACTTTAGGATAAAAATTCTTTTTGAAGTCAAGCGGAAGGATATAGAGTTCAGACCAAAATACAAATTAATTTTGCTTTGGAAATAGAAAATCTGGAGGGAGATGCATAAAAAACTTAATAGCTGTACTGCTTTCAGCTGTACAGTCCTGTCTGGGACCGTACATTCGGATGTAGTGATCTGCCAGGAAAATCTGGTAGGTGTATGGTGCCAAACTAGTGACAACAACAGAGTAACACGTCTTCATACCTTCGGGCAGGGTGGAGAAAATGTCAAAGCAAAAATGAGGATGGAAATGTTTGTGCTATTTATTGCATATAGTTTATTCAGGGCCAAATCAGACAAAGGCAATTAAAAGTGGAGCTGGCCTAACTAATAAAGTAGGCATGGTTAGCCTCTAATTGTGTTGCAGTGTCTTAACTAGCATGGAGTTTGCTTTTGTCTGCTGATTGTTTCTTCCCAGTGATCAATGGTCTTTATTTGTATGCTGATTTTGCAAACAGCTTTGCATATGCATCTCTGGAGAGATTCTCAGGGCAATCACCTCCAACAGTGAAGCTGCCTGGTCATCTGTTTTGACCCTCATTCTTTTTTTCCTGGCTGTTTTTTTCTCCTCTTTTACTTGCAGTTTCATATCACTTGCTTAAGAATAATCCCAACTGAACTCTATAGGGTTTGTTTCTGGTAGATACTCATAGCATTGCACTATTACTCTGCTATTCTGTGTCTTACACCTAGGACTGATGAGGACATGAATTGGGAGCCTAATTGCAGCAATGTCAGGCAGATGCCATTAGGCACTTAACAATCATGTAAAATCCATGCTTCATTCACAAGTCTTAATCTGTAGACTCTTGAGAGTTCCCTGGACTGCAAAGAGAACAAACCTATCAATTCTAAAGGAAATCAACCCCGAGTGCTCATTGGAAGGACAGATCCTGAAGCTGAGGCTCCAGTACTTTGGCCATCTCATGAGAAGAGAAGACTCCTTGGAAAAGACTTTGATGTTGGGAAAGTGTGAGGGCAAGAGGAGAAGGGGATGACCAAGGATGAGATGGTTGGACAGTGTCAGCGAAGCAACCAACATGAATTTGACACAACTCCGGGAGGCGGTGGAAGATAGGCGGGCCTGGCGTCCTCTGGTCCATGGGGTCACGAAGAGTCGGACATGACTAAACGACTGAACACAATCTGTAAACAAAGGAACATTTTTATGTACTGCATGTTATAATTTTTGTTCTTTTCCTTCTTCCTTCTATTCTATCTCATTTCCATGCCAAGGCCCATATTCTGTTCAGTTTGCCACCTATGTATACATGAAGTTGTTTTGGCGAAGTGGCCAGCACTGCTCAACTATCTGCCGCCATGGCTGGTTGCATGATTGGTCATGCAGGCAGGCAGGTGACTGGACCTCTCTCTACACCTCTGCAGCTGCTTCTGTGTTTCTAGTTATGCGAGCTGTAAATTGCAGAGGAGGCCAGTCCAAATTTCCAGAAGCTTTTAGAAAGTAGGCATCTGTGACTTCTCAAAACCAGGAAGATAATAGTTTAAAATGTATCCTGCAACTATATTTTTTAACTCTTTTCTTCTTTTTAATCTCAATGCACAGTGATTCCAGAATTCATTACTCAAGTCAACACAGCACTGGGAAGTTTAAGCAGGGATACAATTCATCTCTTTGATGACAATCAGTTTGTTGACATCTCTAAGAAGGTCTATGACACAATTCATGACATCAGATGTTCTGTTATGATGATTCGGGTAAGTGTCTATTATTTCATTACAAAAAGAGATTTGTGTAGCGTTCATGTTAGTGAAAGTTAAAACCAGGTACTAGAAAATCAACATATTAAGGGAAAAAATCTTCATTATATTAGGGAGAATTTGAATGTTCAGAAACTGAATGTTAGAGCTACAGTATTTATCTGTATTAAATAAGACTAAGGATTCTTAGCACACATTGCCTGAAATCCTGTTGCACTTGGCATAGCATAAAGTTATGCCTGCAGACGTTTGCAGAGAGTTATGCCTGAGCACTCCAATCTGTGCAATTGATTGCACAACTAGTTGTCATTTTCTTTTTTCTTTTGTCATTTTCTGCTTTTGTCATTTTGTCATCCAAATGCTTGCTGGATATGTCTTCTACTTCGGCACTGATTTCACAACTATTTGTACCATTTCGAATTACACACATGTAATTTGAAATTATACAGCTGTATATGTTCATACTCTGGATTCATCCAGTCTCCGTAACCAAAAAGCTGTTTTCTATGACATAACTCTAACCTCAGCATATTTTCTGAAAGTCATAGAACTGCTAATATCAGGATGTTTTTATAATTGTTATTTTAACTCATCATTACTGGTGTTACTGATGCCATTGTCATTTTGAAATCCTGTTACCTATGTACCGGTAACTATTTTCCCCATCCGGTTTGGCCCCACTCCTCTATCCTTCACTCTTTCTCTATAAATCTGTGTCATAACTGTTTTGTTCCATGTATCCAAGGAAGTGGACTGTAATCCAGAAAACTTCATATGGAAATAAATCTGTTAGTTTTTAAAGGTGCCACAACATTTAAAAATGTACTTTCTGTTATACCTACTTATCTTTGGATTTTAAGCTAGGGAAATGTTTTCCCTACTTTTGGATCCTTTCTGTCTACCATTCGATTCAGGTATGGCCATGCTTCCAAAACTTCCGAACCTTGGGTTCCCAGATGTTCTTGGATTACAGCTCCCCGAAATCCTGGCCAGCACAGTTAGTAGTGAAGGCTTCCCAAAATTTTAATCATCAGCACAGCTAGTAGTGAAGGCTTCTCAGAATTTTAATCAAAAAAGATCTGGGTATCCAAGGTTGGGAACCACTGATGTATGAGGAACCTGTAGACTTTCATATGATTATTATTTCTCAGCAACAATCGTCCTGGCTGGGACTATTGGGAATGTGAATCTAGAGGGCTACTGAGTTTCCAGCCAAGGTCTAACTAAATGCTACACACAGCATGCATGTAGAAAGTACAATGACCTATTAAACACATGTAAAATAGTTGTTATTGGTGGCTAGCAGTCATAATGTCTATACAGTGGTGCCTCGCAAGATGAAACTAATTCGTTCCACGAGTAGTGTCGTATTGCAAAATTTTTGTCTGACAAAAGCACGGTTTCCCATAGGAATGCATTGCAATACATTCCTATGGGAAACCTCGCAAGACGAACAAATTATTTTCGTATTGCGAGGCATCGCTCCTGCGGGGGGGGGATCATCTTGCAAAGCACACCCATAGAGAAAGCCATCTTGCGAGTCACCACAACAATCGCAAAACACTTTCGTCTTGTGAGGTTTTTGTCCGGCGAGGCATTCGTCTTGCGAGGCACCACTGTATAGTGATTCCAACAGTATCATAAGCAATAGCTCTGAATACCTGTTGTTGGAAATCATGAATAGGACACCGCTATTGTGCTGATGTTTTGCTTGTGTGGTTCCCTTAAGTTTGCCCGTGAATGAATAGGTAGCTTCTGATGTGGTAAAGCAAACAAGTGCTTCTTTTTAAAAGAAAATGCTGAAAATGCCTTAGCCTTCATCATACAATTTCTGCATCACTCTAGTTAAATGGTTCCCAGCCTTGGGTCCTCAGATGTCCCTGGACTAAAACTCCCAGAAACCTTCACCACCAGCTATGCTGGCCATGATTTCTGGGAGTCATAGTCCAAGAATATATGGGGGACCCATGGTTGGGGACCACTGCTTTAGTCCAGATGCTTAGGCTGCTACATTTGCTTAACACTTCTGCAATAGCTTGCTCCAAAATAAAATGATAATATTTACATTACAGGTTTAAGTCTTAAACAAGGGATTAGTAAATGCCTATTTAATTGGTTTGGTTTGCATGTATAAATTCCCCATCCTTTTTTCTACACTGAAGTACATTTGATCTCTCAGAATATATTGCTGCTAGTCTGAATAGAGCCACTGAGTTGCAGACCAAAGGTTGGGGAATTGGAGTTCTAAACCATTCACTGCTCAGTTTAGGTAAGACGGCTGAATGATATCTAAGCAGCTGACTGTGCTGCACGTTGTTTGATACAAGGTGAGCACTGTTGCCTCAAAAGCTCTTTGAATACATACAAAAGAGACATGGCCACAGTCTGTGTGAGGCAATGCTGTGAGGGGCTCTGCATAGGAATGAAAGGAGAAGAACATAAAGGAAAAAAGGAATGTTCTTCTACAACAAATAGTTGTTTGAACAATAACAACAACATGGCTTTACAAACAGCCATGTTTCAAGGCACTCAAAGGTTCCTCTCCACAGTTACCAGAAGACCAGGTGGGTGATTTTGTTTTTCTTTTACCTTCTCTTCCCCTGGCTGCAGAGTCTTTTCATTTTCAGGACAAGGGTCAGAAAGTAAAGAGTGTTCACTTCCACTAGTTCCTTGCTGTTATATTGAGGCATGCAGCATTCCTTAGCAAGCAGACACCGAGCCAAAGAAGAACCAGTTTTCCTTTGTTTATGAATGACCCTGAATGCATTCATTTCTTAACTATAGTTAGAGAATGTGGCAGCTTCAAAGCACAGCTTCTGATCCTGGCTTGTTAGTTATGGTTACCATTATCTCTCTCTGCAAATGTAAATTGCTCCGCTGCAATTATTATCACCATTCCTCTCACCTCTGTAGTTTAGCTGACATTGAAAGCCATTCCTCCAAAGTGTTCCTACCTTTGGAACTCAAGGCAAGTTGCTGTCATTTTCCTGCCGGTGAGTGGAGACTTATAATGTGATATGTTAATAGGCCAAACAAGGAATGCAGGTAGGCAACTCAGGCACTCAACAGATATGAGAGTGGCCGACTTCCATGTCCCTTGTTAAGAGGAGAAGAGTTTGTCTGGGCTTGTATCTAACAAATGATGGTTAGTTCAGAACAGAAGCGAAAGCTTCCATCTCCTTGGAGCTGCGGTAGTGGAAGAGAGGCGCTCATGAGGCTGAAGTTCATTAATTGAACACTAAAACATAGTTGTATACTCTAGTGATACAGAATACTGATTAAAGACTATGAAGAAATTAGATTTGCTCTATTGCCTTAGGCTGAGATTCTTGGCCAAATCTCTACTAGGACAGTCTAGAACACTGGTTCTTAACCTTGGGTTACTCAGGAGTTTTGGACTGCAACTCCCAGAAGCCTTCACCACCAACTGTGCTGGCTGGGGTTTCTGGGAGTTGCAGTTCAAAAACATCCGAGTAACAAAGGTTAAGAACCACTGGTCTAGAAGGCTGTTCCCAGGTGGACAGACCTGGTTACCTATTGTTATAGCTGGTCAACGTCAACTGGTGAGACCTAACAGTTGGCGAAGTTACTACTGCTGGAACTCTTGTAAGAACTAGCACATACACCAGAGATCCGGAAGGTCCTGGCCTTTATGACCTATGATTGGTTGTCTGGTTACATCAATGTTACTATGGGTCATCGGTATAAAGCATGCCAGCCCCATTTGTCTGTGTCCCTCATTTCTGTTGGACGTGCACTCTGTGTGTACGTTCTATACTTACATCTTGGCTGCTTCCCTTGAGAGGTGCATTATGATGTGTAAGTATAGCATAACCTAGGTAGCTTTCTTATTCTGTCCTGTGTATGTATTTCTAAAAAGGGGGTCTCTGATTCATCAGTACAGCATGGCTTTTTCTGCCCATTCTGAATTTTTTTAAAAAATCCTTCTCTAAAAGGTTTTCTAGGGACATGTTCATTAGCGTGGGAATTCACCAGTACCAAGCTCAGGTCCTTTCTATTACCTGCTACTGAATTTGGCCTTTCCCTGTGCCTCTGGGGGAGCAGAAAGTCCAACGTTTTGGTGCTTGTTTTCTTGATAGCCAGAGAGACATCCCTTAAGGCTTGAGATACCCACCCCCACCCCTAGCTCAGCCTGTTAGACAGGAAAAGGGTGGGTGCCAAGTACAGTACCTTGGATACTTGGAATCAGGCCTATGGCTTCGCTGTGACAAAGAAAATAGTTCCACTCAGAATAACCATCTGGGAAACAGCATACTTTTATCAGAGCAAAATGTTTCAGCTTCTGCTTTCTACAGTTTCTCTGGTAAATTACGCTGCTTCTCAAATAGCAGTTATAGAACCGAGAGAACAGAATGTTCTAAAGCAGATGAACAATGTTATGTGTTGTTGTCTAGGTCCAGCCACGAGGTGTCATGGTAGCCAGTCTGTAAATCCATAAGTTTTCCCTCTTTTCTAATTGGGTTTGGATCTGGTGGTGTCTCTATTCTAGCCAAATGCCTATCAGATAGGCCGTGACATTCAGAGTTAACGTTTTCAGACACTGCTTGTTCCAACTTTCGTCAAGATGGCAGACTTAGTGTTTCTGAATATTGTATGCAGGTCTCTTGTTGCTTTGCCTACATATTGCAGACGGCACCCTGGTCTTCTGCACTCAGTGAGATAAATTACACTGCAAGGCCTACAGGTGTTTACTATATTAGGTCCTGCGAGTCACAGTGTTAGTGTTTGGGGTGGTAGGATTTCCAGTCAAGATATATGTGGGCATCAGTGGGCTTTTTATAAAGGTTAGTGACAATGTTGTCAGTGGTAAGGAGGATGTGAAGGAAAGGGATGGATGGGATGACTGTGAGATGAACAAAGTTGATGTGTGATTTAAATTTCTCTAGGCATTTACTGCCTTTTATCAGGTCCAATAAGTTATAATCAATGTAGCATCACCTGATAAGAGGCTTGTCACTGGCCTCTTTCAGAACATT